CTTCCTTTCAGAGTTTAAAACTCTTCCCCTGGATGGTATTTACGTTTGACGTAAGGCGATTAACCATGACAGATTCCGTGCCAGTTTCCACGAACTCTGTGCAAGACCAACCAAAAGGATAGGATGGTCATAGCACGTATTAACACGAGTATTTTCCGCCAAATTTGCAAGTCTTATATAACTGCGGAAGTCTAAAGTCCCACCTAGGACTTAGAATAAAGGATATTTGTTTGGTAATTTGTTTTTTCCTTGTAACAAATATTTAAAAGACCGTCATTATGCACAAACTTTGATCATTTCTTGCAAGGAGCACACAGGAGACAGAAAAGCAATCAAATTGGAGAGGCAAGTGCACTTAACAGTACTTAGAGGTTGAGGTTTTATTAGTCTATTTACTAACTGTTTGTTAGCAAATAGTTGTTCGAGGATTTACAATGAGTGGCAATCGCCGAGGAATAGGTATGTAACATCTGATGCATATAAACTTAGGTAAAAAGGGGAGCTTAGAACTAATGCTTACTTTTTCAAACGTAAACATTTTCGTAGTACATAGAATGACCTCCTTTTACAAAGGTTTAGTTTCAAGTTGGCTGCCCTGGAAATGCTTGCCAATGTCGAGTCAATGGCACGGTGGACGGCTACGTTTAGTTTTTGACAATATCTCCCTAACAAGTTAGAATTATGCCTGAGCTTTTGGCTGATTTATCGTCGTTCGTGCCAAAATTCTTCTTTTCCAAGAATTGAAAACGAATTTGTCCACACTCGGTGGAAACAACTTAAACATCTATTTCTTTCGTATTCGGCTCTTAGATAGACCCTAATGTGAGATAGACTATTGCATTCTTTGTTTGCCTCAGAATCGATGCATTTTTAAGGAGATAGGTATCAAAGGAATATGGGGAGCAAAGTTTCGAGCAACTCTTGTAGCTTCGCACAACAAACAGAAACATCCTCGGCCATTAAGTATAAAACCTAAAGAATCGTTATAAACAAGAAGAACGAAGTGTCTTGGGCAGTTTGAACAGCTTTCGTGGGATCTTTTACTTTTAGTGCAACTGAAAATAAGCACAAACAGGGCTTTTAGCACAAAATGGCATTTTTATGAGTAGGGGATATACTATATTAAATGGTCGACAATCAACATAATTCGATTCCCTCGGACTGACTCCACGGATGAACTACCCCCTAGCCAAAGTACCTGCTCAAAAGGGGATCTACAAAATTGTTGTATTTTTATCTTGTTTTCCTCGTAGTTTAAGTTTTTCAGTCTATTGATATCGAAACGATATTCGCTCTCGCTTTATCAAAGCTGATTTATAATCGAGTAAAAAAGGCATAAGGTTTCCTTAAAAAAAAATCAACGGAGTACATCTCTTTAAAGCCAAAGAGATCACTAAAGGGCTTAAGGCATTTGCTTAATGGCGGATACGTGAAGACACGCTGTTTAAGTAATTTACAGATCGTTAAGTGTTTGAATGACAGTTTTACCTCGCTATCGTACGAGTTAATTGAATGATGTAAACGAATCTCTGGTCGTTTTTTGATGACGTAATCAGTTTGTCATTTGAGAAAAACACATGCGCAATTAAAAAAAAAAATTGTTGTTAGGGCTGGCCACTGGCAAAAGATGTTCGCATGTAACAGAGCAAGGTTAAAAATTAATTCTAAAACTATTCACTGTTCGTCAACTTATCTTGTGTGCCAAAAGGAGAAACCACCAGTAAGGGGATTTGAACTCATTGGGACCAGAGCCAGATATCTTTGTTTTTGGTGTCGGTATGGAATACATATATATATATTATATATATATATATATATATATATATCTAACTAACTGCAGACAGTACTGTTTCGGCCTTCTGGGCCTCATCAGTGCAGTGCTGATGCTAGGATGGAGGTAAGGCAATATAGCCACCCCAAGTGATCTCACACATGTGGTATCATCTAAGCCATGCCAGAGTGCTCAAACTAGAAAAACTAGTGAGCATGCATTATGCTAGCAGCAATGACTATATATATATATATATATATATATATATATATATATATATATATATATATTCATAGCTTTTCATGCAACTGAAAAAATCAAATCGTTTACTCTTAGGCCTCTAACGTATCATGCAATGAATATTTAACATATTTTTATATATTTATATTTAATTTTACCATACTATGCCTAATTGTCCTTTATCCACGTCCTTTGCCTTTATTTACTTTCATCTACCCTAATCAACCTTAAAGTTAACGGCAGTTGTTCTATTAGATATGAGCAAAGCTTTCGATAGCGTCAATCACGACACGTTAATTTTAAAATTGCAAGATGTCGGAATTTCCAGAGACGCTCTCCAATGGTTTCGTAGTTACCTAAGCAACAGGACACAAGTAGTACGAATCCATTCAACGCTATCTGAGCCTTTGTCCGTGACCAACGGCGTCCCTCAAGGAAGTATCTTAGGCCCACTACTATTTAGCATATATACGAACGATCTTCCATCGATCCCACAGAAATGCAGCACTCAGAGTTATGTAGATGATACGAAACTCATCACTTCCTTCGAACTTAAAGACAACCTGGATGCAATTGCTGATTTGGAAGACGACTTGTTTAAAATAGGAGAATGGTGTTCCAACAACCAATTGTTACTTAACCCTGGCAAAACCAAGCTGATGATATTTGGCAGCAGGCAGATGCGTGCAAAATTGCAATTTCGCTCCCTTTCCATTATGGGTGAGGACATCGTCCCCGCAGACACCGCCAAAGACCTTGGTGTGATTTTGGATTCTAATTTAACTTACGATGAACACATAATTAAGACCGCTTCCTCGTGCATGTCCCGCCTCGGCCAAATAAACCGTGTCAAGCATGTTTTCGACAAACGTACACTTTTGATGATTATTAATTCCTTAGTTTTCAGCAGGTTATTTTATTGTTCCAATGTTTGGTCAAATACCTCAAAATGTAATGTTGACAAGTTACAGGCGGTGCAGAACTTCGCATGCCGCATTGTTAGCGGTGCGCGTAAATTTGACCACGTTACACCAATTCGCAAGGAACTAAATTGGCTTTCAGTTCAAAGCCAGCTTTACTACCGGAACGCTACTATGGCCTTAGATGCATGACTGGTCAGGCTCCAGATTACCTCTCATCAAAATTCATAAAGCGAGCCGAGGTTAGTCGACGTAGCACCAGAAATTCGCAGCTTTTGCAAATTCCATTCTTTAGAACAGCTAGCGGTCAGAGAACATTTTTCTATAGAACTGTAAACTTATGGAACTCTTTGGATAATTCCTTTAAACTGTGCAACTCCGTTAAGGTTTTTAAAAAACGTTTAAGGACCAAATTACTCAAAGAGTTGTAATTTTATATATTTGTATGCTTTTATTTTTCTTTTAGAACATTCAGATTTTAAAACATCTTTAATTGTAAATAGGATTTTTTTATTGTAATAGGATTATTTTTATAACATTGTCTTTGAAAAGCCCCCTTGGGGAAAGTCAATAAAGTATGTATGTATGTATGTATGTATTGTCTTCATCTCACTTCATCTACCATGTTATTATCTCATTTACCTTTATATCCTTCGTTGTTCTTCCTTGTTCTTCATCTATCTTCTTTTGGCCTCATCTACCTTCATCAACCTAAAATTACAATCATTGATCTTCATCTATCTTCCTCTGCTTTCATCTACCTTCATCTACCGTGGTCTATTTTCATCTGCCATTCTTTCCTTTCAGACCTTCATTTGCCTTTGCATGTCTGTCTTTATATACCCTGATCTATCTTCCTTCTGCCTTAGTTTCCTTCCATGTCCTTTAGCTACTTTCATTTATCCTCATCCTCCTTCAGCCACTATCTTCATCTACCTACATCCATTTTCATCTGCCATCATTCACCTTCAGATAACTTCGTCTTCCTTCAGCTACCTTCATCTACCTTATCTATCATCTTATAACTTCATTCACCTTCATTTATCTACATTTACCTTTATTTACCTTCACTTATCTTCATTTTCATTTTACTTCTTTTACCATCATTTATCTTCATCTACCTTTATTTACCTTCTTCTAACTTTATCTAACTTCGAATGAATTAACCCTCAACTTCCTTCATTTACTTTCATCTCCTAAATATACCATCATTTACCTTCATTGGCCCTATTCTACCTTCAAGCACCTTCATCTACTTTCATTTTCCTGAATGTACAAGACTTTGCATTTATTTAACTTTATCTACCATCATCTACCCTTATCTACCCTAATTTCCGTGCACTTACCTTATTCTCCCCTCATCTACCGTCATTCACCTTCAACCATCTTCATCTCCCTTTTTCTATCATCTTTTACCTTCATCTTCTATCATCCATGAAAAACTTTTCAAGAAAGTGCAGTTTTTGACAGTTATCCTTTAAAACGCCAAAAATCACCTTTCTGACCCATCTAAATTTCAACAATTTCTGAGGAGCATGCTATCTATTTACCCCTTTATTTATTCAGCGAATATTAATCCGACCCCCCTTACTAATCCTCGATCGGCGCTAAGCAGTGAACTCACATCATGAAATAAGATTTCTATCCTTCAGGTTCTGCTCTACTTTTTCTGGCACTCTCTGTGACTTATCAAATTCTACCATCAACGCGGGCATTCCCAATAGATTGCCAAAAGAACACTGCAGTCTGTTTAGAAAAAATAACGAAGGACGTCACTCAAGTTCAGGAGAACAAAACATTAGCGAAATGTAAGCACGATTCCTCTTCGTTCATGTGTGTTACTACCTTTATTAAAATCTATTAATTTATATTTTTATTATTATTTTTCAAGAGAACACAAACTGTTATTCCCTTGTATTTTATCAACAGCTAAGAACTGTGTTGAGCTCTACTACTCCGGTCAAAGGATCAGCGGTGTTTACGCAATCGACCCAGATGGCTCAGGCGCCTTTAATGTCTATTGTGACCAAACTACTTCCGGTGGGGGATGGACAGTCTTTCAGAAGAGAATGGATGGCTCCGTTTATTTTAACCGCACCTGGAATAACTACAAATATGGCTTCGGTAACTTGCTCGGTGAATTTTGGCTCGGACTGGACAAGATAAACCGTCTGACACAAAACAAAACAAAGAACATGCTTCGAATAGATCTGGGGGTAACTACGCACCAAACTGTTCACGCTGAGTATGAATGGTTTGAGATTGGGAACGCGACGGCTGACTACCGCCTGTACATTGGCAATATGACGAGTAAGTAAGCCGTCTTTTTAAACATCCATCGTTCGATTTTTATGTGTTACTTCCCTATCGACGTCTACTGCCCCATTCACACCAAAGCTTAAGAGCTGTTTTGCTAAAACCATTTAAAATGTGTTTCTTCAGAGAGGCTGCTTAAACTGATGTATGTCCATTTAGCAAATTAAAAAGTTAGTGACAACTTGAATCCTATGAAAAACTGGTTTTTAATTCCATCCCTTATCCCAACTCCTCGTAACCTGCAAAGAATGGTTCGTTCTAGTGTATGCCCGTTTGACTGTGTTTTGCTGTTAATTCTGCCCATACCAAGTTGAGTCCGCGCTCCTCCTTGGATAGTTTTCTTAAGCTGCTTGAGATAGAAAATTCATTGACCTCGGCTTTAGCAAAATCATAAAATTTGAGTATTTTCTTATTTTGCCAGGTGTTTTTGTATTCGGATATCTGCCCTACTTCGTCGATTCGTAGCTATCGAGTTTGAGGTGTTATCTTGATCCTAATATTATGGAATTTTGGTATTTATTATTATTATTTTTTAAGCAGATTCAACTGTTTCCTCTGACTCCCTCAATCCTCACAAAGATCTCATTTTTGGTACCTGGGATAGAGATCCTGCCCATTGTACTCAAAAAAAAAAGAGAAAAAAAAAAGGCTGGTGGTAGCGCTTGTGCTGTTTGGTCGAATCTCAACGGAATTTATCCGCATTGTCGAAAGGAAACCTGGGCCGATATCCATTGGGGAAAATTAGATCCAAACAGTCCCGCGGGCAGCGCCCCCACATCAACTGAAATGAAAATTAGACCAGTGGATTTTTTTTAAAATTTTCTGACGGTAAAGTGTTCATGTATATAGTGATTTCTGCGTCCTCTGATCGGTCGACTTCGCTTTTATTACAATTGCGATTGGCAGATTAGTGATCGAGTGGCCGTCCTTGAATTTGAATGAATTCCGCCAAGGGAACACCATCGTTAGCTGTTTCCCTCGCGATCAGGCATCAAGTGCATTTATTTGCATGCATGGTGATTTTGATTCTTTTTTACGAACTATTCATTCTTGATTTGAAAACGTTACAATTAAAAATTAGTTCTCTTGCTGTCGAAATTCAACCAAAATATCTGTGATTTCAGTTTTTGAATATCCGACAAAGAAATAAATCCGGACCAGTCGATGCTGTTTTTAAACTTTAAGAGGTAATTTGCACGACAAGAAATAAAACGTGTATTTTTTTTTCAACGCCTTTTAATTCCAGATTTTAAAATGCTTAGAATACGCAGATTAGAAGAAATGACCAAATTATACACAACCATATATAGTTAATCAAATGCGATTTCAGAAAAGAATCTTTTCATCATATCAAGATTAATTCAGAAGGATTTATATTTATGGAACGTTCTAAGCTATTAGCTAGAGTTCCTAAATGTTTTTACTTATTTCTATAGAGTTTACGTTTTCTGATGATTTTTTAAGCTTCACTATCTTAGAGCTATCAATCAAGCGATTTAAGATTATAACAAAATATGCAACTTAGGATATGTGAGTTTTACCGTGGGAAGAAATAAAGACTGTGGTACATTATTTATGCACTTACGTCAATAGCTATGCGATAGCGTTGTCATGATAACCCAATAGGCTTCAAACCTACCATACTCGAGGATTTTCAAGCCCTCAATGATTATTCATTTTCGTATTTGCCAGTGAAACTTCTTACGCACGATTGACTGTAAAGACTGTAAAGGTATGGAGGTGTAAGTTGGGAACCTAATTTTATCACAAATTGGTAAACAACTTCACAAGTACTTTATTTTGCATATCTTGATAATATAAAAAAACTAACCAAAACAAATTAGGATAGATACGAACGGAAAACGCTATTTGTAATCTCTTATGAATTGTCAGTGAAGCCCTGGATAAAGAAGGATTAAAATATGATTTCGGTCACGGTATGGCAAGGAAATGAGCGTACTTTGACCCTTAATTGTCTGCACTGTTCTAACATCTGATGAAACTGCAAATTGATCAAAATGAACGATGAAAATGTCTTAAATTTCTCTCCCAATGTCACGGAGTAGCATGAATAGCAAATACCAAACTTGGAAAATTCGCCATAAATTTTGCTCAAACTGTCACATGGTCGGAATCTTCAAAATGGATGGAGACAGATCATTAAGCTACTTAGCTATCGTTCTGTCAAGGAAAAGTCCAAGACACTAAGGTAACGTTTTTAATTTGTTTCCCTCTCAATTTAAAATCTGTCAA